TCCAAAATAATAATAATAATAATAATAATAATAATAAAATAATAATAAAAAAACCTTAGAACTATTGGTAAGCTTGCAAACAACCCCCTGAACTACAAATAATGCATAAAACCCCTTGAACTAGTCAATTTGTTGCAGATTGCACCCTCTGGCAATAATTCGGCCAAAAAAAGTCTCTAATTTGAGCGTGTGTGTGACACCTGATATAGGAATTAATTTTGATAGACAATAATGCCCTTACAAATCTGAAAGGACCAATCCGTCCTTGTTATGACCGTTGCAACCAAACACACCTTACCTCTCAATCATCTTATATATACACACCCGTATATACACCCGACTATTGAAACTCTAAAATAATTTCAGAAAACCCCTAAATTGATTCCCCATACCTCTCAATCCTCTAAATCCATATGATTATCTGTTCGTCGTGGATCCTCTATCTCTCGTGCCATCAGTTCGTGGTCGATTAATCACACTCTCTCTGTATTTGTTGTGTTTTACTCCTCTCTGTGAATCTCAGATCTTTATCTACTATAAGGTAATCCTCTCTCTCTCTATTTGTGTAATACCCTTAATTTTAAAAGGATAATCTCAGTATTTTAATTATTGTTTTATTGTATTTTTAGTTGCTTATTTTTCATTATTTGTTTATTTACTAATTGTGTAATTATTTAATTGAATTATCTGTTTATTTTTATTTTTATGCCTATGTGGCATTTTAATTAAATTGGTTGTTTTGCGGTATTTGTTAAATTGAGTTCTGTATATTTTCGATTTAGGGTTTTATTATTATTTTTTATGTAGTCGCCAACTTATAATTTTAATTTGGAGTTAGAATTAGGTTTTAATTGAAGCTTATATATATACCGTTATAATCAGACTTAGGGTTTAGATGCCTATATATATATATTCTTGTATACGTCTGCTAGGGTGAAACAAATACCCTATTCATGTATTGGGAGACAGAGAGAAATAGAGAGAGATTTAGGAGGAAAATAGAGAGAACCAGTTAGGGTTTCGGCCGAAGATTAAAGGTCGGACTTAGGAAAAAGGAAGAGGTTGATTGTGGGTTAGAATCGGAGCAGTAGGAGGCTTGACAGTAATCAGAATTCGCCGAAAAAGTCTAAAAAGACGGCATGGAGATTTTAATTCAAAATCTCACAAGCAAGTTCCTATTTTAACTCTTTCCCTTAAACCTGTGTTCTGTGCATGCTATATAGTCTCCAGGAGTTAAATTAAACTTTAAAACGGATGTTGTATGCATGCTAAATTAAACTATAAACTATTTTATGTTTTGCTTAACTGAAATTATTTTATTGTATAAACTGTTATCGATTATGTTTTAAATTTTTGTTAGTAATTCGTAATGGAATTCGTTGAGTTTCTGGAACCTTTAGGACTTAGATTGAACCCTAAAAATCTTAATAAAATCAATACAGAGGGCTCTGAACTTCGCTAGATGCGAAGAAGATGAACAGGAGGAGCGTAGCACAGCTCTCAGGGAGAGAGCCGACTCCCTAATGGAGGGAGCCGGCTCCCTAAGTGAGAGAGTCGGTTCTCCATGAGGGAGAGCCGGCTCTATGTGTATGAGAGCCGGCTCTCTTGCTGTAACACTCCTATGGGTGTATTTTTGGTGTTTTTCAAACTACAGGGGCTAAAGTGAAAATTCTGAAATTTAATTGGGGAGTTTTTAAATGATGTATATAACATATTAAAAACCCAGGATTGTTGGTTTATGCTATGGTAATGGACATCATGAAATTTTAATACTAAATTGTATGCTGTCAGGAGTTGTGAAAGTTTTCATTGCTAGTTTTGTTTTAGCAAATTAAATGGACTAGTATGAAAGTACTTTTAGGATTTTATATAATGTGCTCAATTTATATTTCTGATTATCATTATATCATGCTCTGGATTTTAATTAACGAAGTCAATTATATGGATATGGATGATTTAAATTGTTTATTTTTACTTTAGTAATTTAAACGGAGGTTCTATGATTATAATCATATACTGGATGCATAATAGGATCTTGCATATATCTGACTTCTATTATGCTTGTTTCTGGATGTATTTGATGTTCATATGAGTTATTGCATCATTTATTAGATTTTGTGGATTATATGCATCGGTATGGGACGGTGGCATATTAGGGATAGATTAGATCAAGACGCTAATTCCTACCTATTCATATATACGGAATGGATTAACTAAAATAGTTAAATCCTACATGGATTCATGTCAGATCAACTAAAACAGTTGAATGACATATTGGATGTTTGTCTGTTTGTATATTCTACATTAGGAAGGATATTGTATATATACTTATGGTACCGTGATATGAGCTCAAGTCTCAAGATGATGGTTAGGGTGCATATATCGCCTAGGATGGATAACTGGATATAGTTGTTATTCCCTGGTAGGTCTAGGTATATATGCCCACGTGATGTGCGATTTACATGTTACCTTCTATTCAGGCCAAGACAGAACTATAGGCTAGCGAGCGTCCTATAGTGTGTATCTATACATATATGAACTACTTTAGTTATTGCTGAGTTATCTAAGATGTATCTGCGTATCTGGTTTCTGTATGGATTGTAGTATGATAGAACTTGTTTGTGGGCCTGACCCACTCTTATTTTTTTCAGGTGTTCGTCAGTTCCAGGCTTAAAGCTTGATCGTGCTGAGCAGATACAGTCACTCACTCCTTCGACTACGTAGGATTACTTTTCATGTTTAGTTTTGGATTTTGTTTCCGTACTTTACATTCATTTGGGATTTTATCAGGGGTCCACTAGATGGATTCCCGAGTTGTACGTTTTTTGAGATATTGCAAAGTTTGAATTTTATTAATTTATAACTTTTGAGGATTTTATACTTAGAATTCTTTTCAGCGTATTTATTTATTTCTTTCTTAATTCTTTTGTACTCTGTGTTCATTTAAATATTAATTATTTGGTATTCCCTCGGGTTTGTGCTTGGACCTGATCAACCTATGTCTCGGAGTCAAGGGGTGTCACAATTTGGCTCTATATTGATGTGAGTTGATATATATATATTTACATATATATATATATGGTAATCCTCTCTTTCTATTTGGCTCTATATTGACGAGTTTAACCGTACAAATAGAGATCGTGTACATATATATAGTACTCCTAGTTTTTTTTTTCATAATCTATAAAAAAAAATTGAAGGTCTTGATAATGGACACTGGGCCTCGAATGATGAATAAGAGGTGTTGGTGTGGCTAGAGAGCTTCTGTATTCATTTATGAGTCCGCGGATAATCCTGGGAGGCAGTATTATAAGTGCAGTAGAAGGGTTTGCAAGTTTTTTGAATGGGGGACTCTTTCTTTGATACCAAACATCAATCGACGTCCTCAAGATGGTCCTCTTGTCCCTCTCGCTGATGAAGTTCCTTCAGTAGCTCTCAATTCCATCCCATCATCTGCAATGGCTATGTTCGTGGGAAGCATTATATTCTTTGGATTCTCTATTTTAGTTTTATTTATTTCTCTTGCTCTTAAGTGAATGTAATGTAGGTTAAGACAATTTTGGTTATTGTATAATGTTATATGGAGGTTTGGGTGTATGATGTTATTGAGGTTTGGGTTATATAGTTGGATGTTATGTAGGAAGATGATGCTAAACTCTGTTTTTTAATAGTGTTGTTGAC